TAATAAAAGAATAGTAGTTACAATGAACCGCAAAAGAGGGTCAAAAGATTCTACAAACCACGCAAAACGAAAAGCCTTTCCTATTATTATGAGAGTGGTTAATAATAATGATTGTCAATGAAGATTTATCTAATTCCTCACTCTTTAAAAATAGAAACTAGTCTAAACGCGGTTATTTCGAAAACGAAGACGCCTCTGTAAGGAGCTTGGACGTACGAGTAGTTGTTGTCTAAGCAGAAAGGACGTTCATAGGACGGTGTTTTTTAGGATACAAATGAATACACAATTTTTTTTTCATATATATTGATATTTATTTTTTCCGTGATTGTCTTCTTTGACCAACTTTCATCTTCCTGCAACAACAACAACAATAACAAATCCGTTATCAACCTCTCTGCTGTATGAAAGTTGAAAAGACGTTTTACTGTACAAGTGGAACCTCGATTTAACGAAGTGACAAGGGACAGGGGAAATGTGTTAGTCATTACAAATGGATTGTTTGTTATATCGAACACCTCTATATAACGAATGCTAGGGAAATGTTATATCGAGGTATAGTTAGTAATCCGGATCTGAAAAATTTCGGTTAGTAATCACATTTCAGTCCGGTGCTATACATAACTACGGCGCTAGAAACTAACAAAACTGTTCAACTACTGTAAAAAGAATTTTATCCTTGCTGGTCTGTTTGGCATTCATCTTTTATCACTTGCTAACATTTATTCGTTGTATCGAAGTAAATTTTTCGTTTCCGCTGTAGATTGTGTTCGTTACTTTGTTAAATCTAGGTTCTGCTCCATACATTTCACTGTAATTTTGGCCGGGCTGAAGAAAATCGTTCGTTATACAAGTACAGAGGTTTGTTAAATCGAGTTTTCACTGTTCTAAGGTAATTTACTGTCAAGTGCACATTTTAATAGGAGTTTTCAAATTAATTCCTGAATACCGTTAAATCTAGCAATGTATCCGGGGGGTACTCCTGGGAATTCTTGGTAGGGGTGTGCCGCCCGGTTTCCCAAATCCTGACCCTATTTCAGACCAAAAAATGTCATTTTCCACACCTATTTTCAGACCTGGCCTTTAGGCAGAAATTATGTCATCATTACTTAGATTAGATCGCAAACAAAAAAATTCTTCAACTCTATTTCGAATTCGCATAGTTTTCCTCCTTTCTTACTCATTTGGAATTGAAACGATAAATACGTTCATACCCTCCCGTAGTTCCCTCGAAAACCATACCCGATTCCAAACCAAAACGGGCAAAATGTATACCCGTTTTCAGACCAAAACGGCGAAAAAACCCTACCCGATGGGGCGGGACATACCTATATAGCTTATTTATGGGAGTACTCCCCCCGAACAATGCATATTTAAAGTTATTTTTGTTTCTAAAATAAACTCATACTTACATTGGCATAAAAAACTTTAAAATCCCCCCAACTAGGGGGTCCTTCGCGCTCCAGGCGCAATTAAGTTTGGTCTTCAATGGGCCCATACTTTTTTAGCCTAGCGGCTGTATGGACCCATTGGGCCGCCCATGATGATGCCTTTCTTAGGTCTTCGAATGAGATTTCACAAATGTTCTTTTCCTGAAGGAAAAATAAGAAGAAACTTTTCAGGGGACTACATCATTTATTTATCTTGTTAGGAGTAGAGACGATGACGGCGACGGCAAAGAGAACGGCAAAAAAGTAATAGGTTTAGATTGGCAAAACAACAACTTTGCACGTGCATCACGCTTTTTTGTACATTTCTTTGCCGTCGTTGCACGACTACGACGTGAAAGGACCAATTTTTAAGTATTTTTTTGATGACGGGGACGGTGAGGCGATAAATGCTACCATCTTTGTCTGAACTCGGGAGTGGCCCCCTCATTTGAACTCCAACATAAATTCCCTTCTTTGAAGTATCTGGGCGACTTTGAATAATCGCGAAATTGTTTGAAAGGATGCCAAGTCTATTTTTCAGCGACTTTTTTATGGACGTCGTCATTGTCGGATCGTAAGGTCCCTAATATTGTTAAGGGGTTTTTCCATGCTAACGGGTAATTAACCTGTATCTGCTGTTATCAGGTAATTCTAAACGTAAAACCGAAAGCATTTTCTACGTGATAGATTCTTGTATCAGGGAATGTTCTTCATAGATATACAACTTACTCTAATTCTTCCCCCCTGAAATTTTATGGGCCTCCCCCCTACAAGCTGCGATACATGTATTTCTAGTAAAAGTAGCCTGCGAGCAAGCTCTCCTATTTTATGCAAGAGTGACAATTTTTTATAGTTACTTTTACTAATTTCATTACAATTGACGTTCGACAGATGAGGTACAGTTCTCTCTACTGCTGGGGCATTACGGCGCGTGTAATTTCCGAGATGTATGTAGTTAGGTAACCTAATTTTCATACTGACACTGTGAATATCAAGATCATGCACGGGGCTCGATTACCAGCCGATGAAGAAGATGACAAAAATTATATAAATAACGTTTGAGAAGGCTGTACTTCCAGGCGAATTCTTGGAGAGAGTGTGCTTTCCGGTTCTCCATATTATATTTCGGACCAGAAAATGTAAGAACAGACCTCTAAAATCCATACCCGTTTTCAGACCTGGCCTTTATTCATAGCAATTAAATAAAATCCATACAGAAAATGTAACATGTTGGAGATTGATTGCACTTGAAAAACATTAAAGTTACAGTCAACTTCCGAAAAACTCTTTACCTCCAAGGGAAAAAGCAAAAAGGGTCGAGTTGTTGGAAGTTGAGTTATTGCATTTAAAATTATATGAAAAATGGCTTGGAGGGAAACGACAAATTGGTTTGAGTTAGCAAGGGTTAGAGTGATCGAGAGTCAACTGTTTTAACAATAACCCAACATGGTATTTGAAGACGAAGTTGCCTTGCTGCCAAATTGTTAAATTGAGAGTTCTTTAACAACAATATTTGGATTTAACTACAACGTATACGATTGCAGCCTGCTCCCTTTGCCATGTCATAAGAAAACAAAAAATACAAGTTAACTAGATTAACAAAAATAACTAACACCTAGGTGGGTGTCAAAGACCCCTTTGTCTCCTAGCCCTACTTATAATATGTATGCTAAGGAAATTGAGAATGAAAACCTATGTTTAATACCACTTTTTAAACAACAACAACAAAAAAAAACCTCCTACACCATTATCCTTCTTAAACAGAGGAATATATCCTCACAGCTACTTAAGTTCAGTAAATGTCACTGTGAGGGTCTGTTAAATCATTATTCCGCAAAAACATAATATAGGAAGTAAAACGCTACTTGGGTATATTGCATATCAACATACTACATACAGTGAAACCTGTATTAAGCGGACACCCTCGGGGAATGCTGTAGTGTCCGCTTAATACAGGGTGTCCGCCTAATACAGGTTTTGATAGATAACGTCATATGAGGTGTCAAATGCCATTCAAATGAACAGTGGAAACGTTTAGAACCCTCCCAGAGACTATGATGATATACGTTTGCATTAATTTCTTTATTAAAGATGATAGTACCATAAACATAGATTGTAACTCAAATTTGAAGAGCTGAGATAAGTGAAACAAGCTCTATAGAAACAAAACGAAATAGAAAACAACACTGTACTGTGAAACTAATCAACTGAGTTCGTCAAGTCACGTTTTTTAACGTAAAAATATTAACATTTGTGTGTGGCAATCATTTGCATTTCCGGTGTCTGACATGTTGGGTGGTAGAATTTAATTACAAGTGTCCGTTTAATACAGGTTGGCAACAATAGAAATGACCATTTCAAGTAAATAAGGAAAATAAATTTGGGGACTTCGGCTACTGTCCACTTAATAGACGGTGTCTGCTAAATACGGTGTCTGCTTAATACAGGTTTCACTGTATTTGATAACTTAGGTTGGATAGAACAATACACCACTAAAGCAGGTTTACAGGTTCACATCCCACTAATGCCTACTTGTACTACAATGTTTGTAACTATGAGACATTATCGACTCCACCCACCTTCATGTAACATGTTGATGTGAGGTCCTGATGCTGCCACTCTATCACTGTAGCCTTTGTTACAGGAACACTGATAGAGCCAATGGACAGCTTCACCACCATGCTCATCTTGAAAGCAACAAGCTCTTCTTTCAAGGGACATGTACTTCTTATTCTGTAATTTTTGGAACATGCAAACAATAATACAAGATGTTGTTACACTACATGTAGCTCTGTACAACAGTGTGCTCAATAGGATTCGATGTGCTCATGTGCCCAACCTTGAGAAGGTGGCATGACATGAGCACAAACTAAAGAGAATCTACATGTAAATGGCAAAATAAGCGGCTATATAAATCCAAAAAAATTGATCGATGGGTGCTGCATTCTATTAAGGACTCTGCGGTATCAAAAAAACAATGAGAGAGAAGTGCTGGCTAATTATGCAAGTTTTTTTTAAGATTCACCACGCGTTTGAACAAGTCTCCGGTCCCATAGCATGTTTCATTTCGAAAATACTGCAATTTGAACTTCTGAGTTTTCACAGTGCCGTGACACCAAAATAGGAATGCTGTCTCGATGAAAAAAGTCTCTCCTCTTGATTCTTAGCAGTATAACCATTTCAAGTGTATGTTTATGTGCAGGTATGCTAGTTTCCCAGTGAAAAGAAAGTGCTTTTATAGAAAAAGTGAACTCCAGACGTTTTTGTTGATTTCTGGCGGCCATATTGGTGCACCAAAACAGTACACCAATATGGCATCTCCATACAAAGCTCTACAAAGGTGCATGAAACGTTTCGACAAATAACTCAGAAACTGTGGGCCACAAAGACCTGAGACTTGGACAAATTGTTTATAACATTTCATTTTCTTGGCTTCTTCCACGGGACGGTTTCCAATCTATTATTTTGTTGCATGACAATGAAAAGAATCTATAAAGAGTTTATAAAAATATAAGGATACTAAGTTCCAATAAAGACTTACCCACAGAGATCTTGTGTGCAAGTTAAAGTCCCTCAAGAGAACTTTGTCGCAGCAGTGTCTAAAATGACAACTGCATTTCTGGTGAGTTGTACCTCCAGTAAATACAAAGATACAACGTCACCTTGCAGTATACCAGGAACCTTGAAACATTGAAATTAAAATATGGGTTATAAATATCCTGAAACATCACTTTGCAGTATACCAGAAACCTAGAGATATTGAATATATATATTAGGTGCAGTTACACAGGGCACTTTTTCCATGGGAAATTGCCCTTTTACCATGGGAAACTGTATTTAATAGTGTGACCGACATTTCCCAAGGTAAGTTTCCTGTGTTAAATAAACAGGTTTATTTCACACTGATTGAACTAATTTGTTGGGCTATACTGATTTGGGAACAATACTTACAAAAAAAATTTGTTCTATTTCTGGCATGTAATCAAACTGCTAACTACCTTCGCAAGACTAACACTAACATACCAGTTGAAATTTCAGCTAAACTCTCCGTAAATTTTCAACATAACATGAAATACTACAATCATTGACAGCAATTATTACCGCAGTAGAGCAAATGAAGCCGTAAAAGCGGCTAAATCAACTTGGGAATTAATTCATGTGTAACTACATGTTGCTGCGGTAAACTAAATCCACATTAAAATTTACCACGGTTTTGTTAATGTGGGAAATGCCTTTTACTATGATGTGTGTAACCACACCTATTATCTACTCTAAAGGCTGGTTTCAATATGATCGCTACGATCACTGTGATCGCTGCAATCACTGAAAAAAAGTTCAGCGATCATGGCAATCGTAGCGATCATATGGAAACCAGCCTTCAATTCAAGATTGCTCCAAATCTCTCAATTTAAGAAATTTAGTTTTCTTATTTTATGAGAAAATTTAAACAAATCATAGGATATAAACTCTTTTTTAAACAGGCAGTTTAAATCACAGAAAAAAGAGTTCTTATCCTAAGATCTGTTTTAAATTTCCCCATAAAATAAGAAAACTTTTTCTTAAATTGAGAGATTCGAAGCAATGTCGAATTTAGAGTGATATTTTCTTGGCATGGTGCAAATCATATCATGAGGTCGAGATGATTACAAAATGTTCTTACATCAAAAAGGCATCATGTACGTAGCATCTTATTTAAAACCTTGCCAAGGAAGACTTCAATAAGCTAGCTCATTGTACTAAGAAAACCAAACACACTACATACTTAATTCTAAGACATGTCCTGGAGCTGCAAAAAAATGCCACAAAAAGGTTTCTGTTCAGATCATTCCATGATTGTCACATCAAATCTTTTGTAATGCCCCATTATACCATCATGCTAGCTAGTAATGTACAAAGATAGTCATGCAATCGTGCATGGTCGGCAAATACATTAACTGTACCGTACTTCTCATCGAATCTATAGTCTCTATAGAATATTGCTTACAGTATCTTCACCAGAACTAGGACCAGGCACGTCTTCTCCTTCTTCGCGTGAAGTCGCACGATATTCCAGCCGTCTTTTGGAGGGAGAAACAAGCTCTTTGCACTGGGTAAAATCCCGCTTCTCCGAACGTTTCGGCATATCGCTAATGCAGATGACACGAAACTCCCCTTGTCTCGATCTTGTCTCTATGTTACTTTTGGCCAGCGGCATGGTGCCAAAACTCACCATGGGAAAGGACCCTAAAAATGACCTGTTTCATAGCTCCAGCTTCGACAGCTTCCCGCTCAGCTTTCAAGTCTTTCAACTCAAAGATGGCGGCACACGCTTGCTGTCCGCAACATTCATTTCAGTGTTATAGAATTGGCTCTATCATAAATGGACAATTTCAATGCAAGATGTTTCTTTTGATCCAGTGCGCAGCGATTACAGGTAAACCACGCTATATTAGTTTCAGATTTTTAAATAGTATAATTAGCTGTGGTCACACTGCACACTTTTGCCTAGGTAAAACCGATTTACCTAGGGTAAATTCTTCAAAAATCTCCTGAGGTAAATTCATCTCAGGTTCTGTTTTACCTAGGTGAAAAAGTCTGGGAAGGTCACACTACTGATATCGGCTCCCGAGGTTTTCACACCAGTTGAATTTTTTGGAGCGTAAGTTCAAGAAGGCAAGATGCGCAGGGATCTAGCTGATCAAAGAGACATTTTGTTCTTTTATCTCGCTGTTATTTCTTACGCTAATTCAATGTCCAAGGTGAAGAAAGGCGAAGACGTAGACAACTTGTGCCCTCAAAATTTCTTTCAAAGCGTGAGCTATATCCTGTTCTGTCATCAAGGCCTTCGCTGAGGAGCGTCTATTGGCTAGCAACCTGGGTATTTTATTTTTCCCAAGCTATTGCTTTGGGGTAGCTGTCAATGAAAACTCTATTGTTCTTGAGACATATCCAAGACCCAGATGATAAAATTTTCCCAAGGTAAGTTACCTAGGGGAAAATCAGTCACACTTAAAAAATCAAGTTTTCCTGGTAAAAAGTCGATCTGTAGTATGACCACAGCTATTAAAAGTCCTTAAAATCAGCTAATTGGTATGGATCGGCTCACACCTTGGTAGCTTCTTCAGGTGCCACTGATGGCCAGGGTTAGCAATAACTGAGAGGAATTTTTCAGTTTAGGAGCTGATGGGAGTATACCATTTTAGTAAAATGCAACTAGTGGTCTATTATCAATGCTGCATTCTGATTGGTTGAGCTACTACTAGGCTATATGTTATAGCCCACTAGTAGCAAAAAGCGCCGGCTTTGAAAACCAAAACAATGGCAGCTGAATCACGTTTTGCAAGCTAAAATTGTTTTGTCTCGATATTTTTGAACAACAAGTTGGATTTTACTAAACCAATATTACTCCTCTCGCCCTCATGGCCTCTAAGTCAATAGCCCATTCGGCCTTCGGCCTCATGGGCTATTGACTCAGAGCCCATTTGGGCTCGAGGAATAATTGTTAAAAACCGAAATTATTTAGCCAATATGCGCACAATTCCCTACAAAATGTTTACAATACTGGCAACTTATATGAGGCGAGCCAGCCCGGTTACTAAGCCAGGCTGGCTTGGCTTGTGCATTAAATTTTGTTTCTTTATAAAATTGTTCGTGTGTTTTTATGAAAAGGTGGGTAGGCTGGCCCACTCGCCAAGATCCCAGTTACTCGAAAACCCAAAACCTTGGGCAGGTTGTAATTAATGGCAAATGCCAGCCCAACTTGGAAACAAACTGCCAAAAAGATTCTCAGTAACATTATAACAGTGAATATTTGAAGTTTCATAATGAACTACACGAAAAGATGAAAGGATAGGGGAAAGGATGGGGAATGAGCATGTTCAAAAGATTAGTGAAAAAGAAAATTAAATCCTCTTGGACTGAATTGTAAAAGCCAGCCTGTGTAGCATGGCAGTTTTGTAGGGTGTACCACTGAGCAGTGAAGTCCAATCTCCTCACAGTTTTACTACCCTACCCCACCTTGGTTTGTTTGCGGGCCTAACCAAAACTGCCATGCTACGCAGGCTATGTAAAAGCTACAGCCTATAATGTAGGGATATTTTGGGGCAAGCAAAAGTTGCCATGGCTGCACACCATCTTTGATTTCATCACTCAGGTAGATTGGCAAGAGTATACAAATTACAACACTTGGAGTAGGGGTAGGGCAGAAGAAGGAGATGGGAGAGGGGGAGGGGAGAAAAAAATATTTCTCTCTTCCACCAACACCTCCCCTGCCCCTCATGAGTCACCCCACTGCCTCGACTATTTTAGAATTCAGCATTGTGGTTACACAAACAAAAACAATCACACACGAAGAGAAAACGTCCGGAATGCTGGGTACATGAAAGCATATGGAGATAATTTTTAAAGTGGTGGTGATGTCCTCTGTGCTTAACAATTTAGTAATGACTACATTGAAACTATACAGCCAGCAAATACTAACTTTAATAGAAATCTTTCTCAAAAACCAGACAATAATTTTATAGTTTGAATACAGAGTAACTGATTCCCACTGATATAATTATAAATAAATAAATATTATTATTTTATTATTATTTTTTTAATATCAGAGATGGATAATTCTCTTTTGTAATGACTTGATTTAAAACTCTGGAATGCCTGCAAGTCATTGACTGCATCTGAGTTGCAAGGAATGTATTTGCGAAATCGTTATTGACAAAGTGATTGCTATTTTTATGATTTATATTATTGTTAATGTTACATAGTGCTTAATTCTTACTTCAAATATTTCTGTAAATAATGTACATAATTTATTACATTGCATGAAATTGCTATGGAATTAATGCTCTCTCACAAAAGATTTGCCCAGAAAAGGACCACGATTGCGCGCATGCTTATGGCTTACTGGTCCAGTCCGAGTGTGCTACTGACCAGTTAAAAGCAAACATGTGTTAATACTTTCCCTTAAAAGCCTTCTTTGTAAGAAAGTCATACAATGTCCATCATAATATTTATTATATTACACTAGATCATAGTTGATGATTGCAAGTCCCAATCCTTCTTTTGGCTTTCCATCATAATCTCCATTTACAAATTTCTCATAGACAGGCCAGCTGCGATGATAAATAACTGCCACACTTTCGGTTCTGAACATCTCTTTGCTGGAGATAATGAAGGCTAGTTCTTTCAGGAGGTAGTAAACTCCTTCTTGCACACTTTCGTTGTCTTCAAGCTCAGCATCTGAGGATTCTAAAGTTTAAAATAAGACTTGGTCAGACTTCATTGAAGAGTATACTGTGGGGGTGGGGAGTGGGGGTTGGTACTCCCTATAATGGCCTATACGGGGAGGCTCCGCCCGAAAGAGGTACCTTTTTCCGGCTTCAGATATATCATTGCTATATAAAAGGGTATGGAATTCGGAAGCTGAAGTATATAAAGGGATAGGGAAATCTGTCATTTCAGTTTGTAAAAAGGTCCAAAAGGGCTAACAGTCACATTTTATGGCTGTAAAAAAAGTCGAGAAAACATTCTAGATTTGTAATTTACAGTCCAACTTCCACTAACGGCCACCTCTTCACAGTTTCCATCTGTCTACAACGACCAGGCCTTTGAGGGGAGGTTCAACTGTATCTATATAGTAAATACAGTTCATTTACGGTAATTAAAAGGAATGCAAAGGTGTTATACTAGGTATGTGAAAGGGGTAGCATTTGTCAATAAAAGGTATACAAAAGGGGTACCTTTTTTGTCAGAAATAGTATATTCAAGGGTAAGGGTCTGGAGCCTTCCGATATAAAACGTTGTTGCGTACCCCACCGGGAGAGTATTTAAAGCGTTATGCAACGAAAGGCAAATCTTGGTACATGTACTGAGTTTATCTCCACCTCTCCCCAGTCCCGTTTTTTGGGGTCACGCATAGAAATCGAGTAAACTGCCAGTCAACCGAACGATAGCAAGGAATGACATGATTTTATGGCTGGACAAAAACGGAAGAAAACAGATGCAAAAAAAACAAAAATGCTTGAATTACGGAGATCTACTCAGGTGGCGGGAATGTCCACCACTTTTCATGCTCTTAACATAGTTTGTACACCGGTTGGCTCAACTTTTTTATTTCTTTAGTCCTGAATCCTGGAAAATTGTGCGTCGAAGCCTCGACAACCATTCGCAAGGGGTTTTAAACCGTAGATTGGTGTAAACAGAAACGGATCCGTGTTTCAAAGTCCATTGACCGAGAAGTGATAAGACAACTCAAGAAATAGAAACCGAAAAAGTTTAGATAATTCGACTTTTAAAACATCGATATTCCGCTTCTCTTGCTTACCTGATTCACTCTCATAGGATGTAGAATCTTTTCCTAACACTTTTGCGGTCGATCGTGCGACGTCCTGGCGAAAGTAAGAGTTACTTTTGTAAAAACTGATGATATAGTCTAAGGCTGCAATGTAAGCTTCATGTTTGTCTACCTCTGAAGTCCAGTCCAACATATAAAACTCTCCAGCAATATCATCAGTCTTGGACACCTGTTCAGCGGTAGAAAATAATGATTTAATCCATACTGAATGATGAAAAGCCGTAAAATTATTATTTCTCTAACCGTGGGTACAGCGTGTTTTTTTTTAACTTGCGTGCGGCGGAGATGCTTCCTGCCGGCCGCAGGTCGACACGTTAATCTTTGAATCGTGAAAAAAGTTGCAATATTAGTTTAGCTCCTCCTCCTCTAGACTACGAGTAGTCCCTCATTTTTCCTCAGGGATAGTAGAGCGCGCGTGAAAATCACCCCACGCGAGAAAAGGCGACTTGCGGTGGGAAGAGAGTCTAGCGGCTTCGCCGCTCCCGCGAGCGTGCATTGCTCTCACTAAATCTGAAGAAAAAGAGAGACTACTCGCAGTCTAGAAAAATGAGTGCGTGTCGCCTTTTCTCGCGTTTAGTGATTTTCACGCGCGCTCGTGTTTCGCTCGCTCTACTATCCCGAGGGAAAATGGGGGACTACTCGTAGTCTACTCCCCCTCCACACCCCTTATCTACCTTAGGGAGAGATTAGTTTTGTAAATGATAAAACTATTTTGTACCACTTCAGACAGGGGGCTACCCTGGGTGCCAGAGACTTTTCTAGCGCGGTTTCCGGTTTCTTAGGTGGCGGAATCGTCAGTTTCTAATTTGTTTTAAATCCAAGTTTTCTTGCGTTTAATTTATTACGGGCTGGTTAGAAACCTTATAATGTTTCCTTTACTTTTATAATCGTTATTGATTAAATCATTTTTTTACTGACTGAAAGTCGATAAAAGTTTTATTTCTGGCCAATTTTAAAATATCATTTACTATTTTCATTTGTTATTGTTTTGGTACTGAAATCTTCATGTCGAAGGTAAAGTCAATAAAGTTGTTGAAGTAAACTATTCACCATAATTTTAAACCAATTACTATTTCCGAGAAATCCTCCGTTAGATTTCTGTCAGTTCTCTGTGAAATTTAGCGCGTCTCTACATAAAAGCACACAACATACTTTCGACATGTACGTAAAACACACAAGATTAACCAAAGTTGCGAAATTAGCCTCACTAGTTATTACGGTTTATAACTGAGAAAAAGCAGGTCAGTGACGTCACTCACGCATGCGCACAATTGGGAAGTGTCAAAACTACTGCATGTCCGGTTGTCACTAAAAAACGTGTTTCACGAAAGACACCCACAGCTCACAGTGAGGACACATGTGAGGAGGTCGGATGAAAAAAATTATATAAAATTTTAGCTGGTATTTAGCTTATGAAAGAGAGCGAGTGCGCGTCAGTTTTATAGAATACAACCAAAATAAATAAAAAAATGTTGTGGTGGATATTTAACCGTACTTTTTGAAGCTTTCTCAAAGTATCAAGAATTAATCAGTGACAGTATTATATTTTTTTCTGTACATACCTTATCAATAGCTCTTCTGCAGTGCGACTTGAGCTGACTGGAGTTTTTCTTGGCTCGTTTCACAGCATCTTTACTCCCCAGAGCTCTGTACGTATGTTCAGCTGGCTGCTGTGGTACAACCACAATTATTCTTCTTTTGTCCTTTCCCAAGTATTGCACATAGTCCTCAATAACGTGGGATTTGAAGTATGGATTTCCAGGGCTCATTCCAAACAATACTACACCATTACCCTCCATCACATCTTGACCTGTTTCAAAAACAAGGCTTTCTCCAAGCTGGACGAGGTTAAGCACCATTTTAAATTGAGGGGCTATTTCTTTGGGAGAAAGAAATGAAGCAAGTGGATTTCGAGCTCACGGTCAACTTAACATGCTGCACAAGGTAAACGGTGTGTCTTTTTATATGCGTCCATCACAATTAACAATTAGCCAATCATTGTTTTATTCGCTGGAACGATCGCTGAGTCGAATTTCCCGGGAATAACATGGCTGATGACGTGCTCTAAATTTAGCGTCGAAGTTACCAGGCTTATTTCCCAGAAATACCGGTAGTAACGTTGGAAGTTGAAAGAGCGCGAATATCGTAATTTACAAAGAAAATGAAGGTGTGTTCCCTTGATTCCCTTTTTGGGGTAAAATGGGCTAAAATGAAATGTAAAGATCTTTGCCTTTTTGGCTTAAAAATTTGATATCATGAGGGAGCGGTGTCCACCCGAAAGGGATAACTTTTGTCAGGCTTAAGATGGTATTAAAAAAGGGAAGGGATTTCACTGGTTGAAGTGTATGACAGGCAGGGACTGGTGTGTCATTTAGGTATTAAGAAAGGCCTTTAGTTGCAATATTTCAAGCAGACGCGCCTTGCAAGTTGTTTTCCCGCAATATCGTTCATTAACTTCATCCAAGAGTTTAAAGGGATGCAGTGTGGTTAAGTAATTATAAGGGTTAGAGGTCAATACTGTCTCCTTAAAATGGTTTATAAAAGGGCAAGGGCTATAGGTGGAGCTCGGGGCCGAGCCACCCAGTACAAAACTTTGTGGAGTACCCCTGTACTTGACATTTAGTTTAGTTAGGTATTTTGGCTCATTTCTTTGAATAATTACGTTTTTTCCCGAATGAGAACACCAGTCTTAGTACTTCAGAAGCTCGTTTTTCATGCTTGTCATTTGTTCCACATGGACGACCGTACAATTGTTCTTTTTGTAGCTTTTTCTCCGAATTCACACTTGCGTACACTCATATCAGTTAACAGGGAAAATCGGAAATGTGATAAAATTAAAAATGATTTAAATTAGCTTTGTCGAAGTATAAAGTATACGTGAGGGAATATAACCTCTTCTGCTTTCGTGCAGACTTCTCCTATTTCCTTTGCGTGCAACAAAGGAAATAGGAGACGTCTGCACGCAGGCAATAAACGTCACTAATGAAATTCGGTTTTATCGTAAGGGTCATGAGACTCGCGTACGTCAATTTATATCCATCAAAAATTCCCCTTTGAACGGAACTTGATTCGTTACAGACGGTTACATCATGTTACATGCCTTTGGTTTAGTCACCATATGACTACTAGGAAGTCCTTGACCGGAACTAACAAACTGACAAACCTTTGTGTGACATAACGTAAGATTTCAGTGGCTTTCAGTTTGCGAAGAGTTCGTTTCATCGCTTTACAGTCGTGTTCAAATTTCAAGATGATACTCGGCCTTGCCATCACTGCCCTTGCTTTCGTAGTGATTTTGATATCGTGGATTTACAAAAGATTTTTCGAGGTAAGTTTTTTTTCCTCAAAATCGGTTTTTCCGAAGAGCAAAGCCGACGGTGTGCGATTCTTGCACGATGCGCGCGAGCCGTTTCACGCTCTCTTGATTGCAAATGAACTCTTGACCTACGCAAAATACAGGCTATTTTTCAGCGTAAGTTTTAATCTGTTATGCGTGAATCATGTTTACCAATATCTTATATGTCTTTCTATTAAAATTTGTGGTCACTAACATTCTCAAAACGTATTGCTTTTCCTCCAGTAACCGTTGTCAATGAACGTTGAAAAAAAAAATCGAGCCCATGAATAAGAAAAATAACTGGAAAGCTTGCTCAGAGGCTATAAACAGAACAACTTAAGTTTTGGAATGTAGAGACAAAGGACAGCAACTCCTTGACATCAGCCTGTCGTTGTTTCATAGAGGACATAGAGAGGCTTCCTAGGACATCGGAAACAGAGAAAAGAGTTCAGTCGTCAACCTTCTGTTTCAGTCTGTTTCATTTTCTTTAATTCGGACTCTCTTCAAGTTTAATTTTTGTAGAAGGAAAAACTAAACCGTGAAAGAAATAATCACTGACTTTAATCTGTGATCGCTTATATTATAGATTTACTTCTGGCAAAATGATTCTGGGGAAATTATCGCAGGAACTGGCTTTAGGACCTTTTCACCAACACTCATAGCATTTAAAGATGAAAGATTTAAGAAATTTGGAATGTACTTGCTCCGATTTTTACCCGGGCCTCCAAAACTGTAAGTATTATGAGTAAGTTCACATTATATAAAGATCATATCTGTAATATTTTCGACTCAGATGTTTTTTTTGTTTGTTTTGTTTTGTTTTCATTTTTTGGACTTTTCTCAAATTTCCTAAGTTCAATACTGCACATTTTGATTTTCGTTTTCGGTAGTGTCACGAAACGTGACACTCTTTGTCTTTTCAGTAGTTTTGGGGGACAAATTGTCACTGGCCTTCACTCATTTGCTTGTCATCTAAGTAGACTCCACTATTGCCAGATTTTGTTTGGCGAGTGGTTTGGCTCGAATATTTAGCTGTACTTGCTAGTTTACTTTAATGGCAATATCGTGATTGTATTAAAGCGTGACTAGGATTTTCAATTGTTTTGGCACAAGTTCTATTCATGTACCTATTTTCTTTGTACTACTTCGTTAGATCCAAATATGCGTTGATTTTTCTCGTGACCACAGCATCATAACAGACCCACAAATCGCTGTGAAATTTATGGCAAAACAGCATAAGTACGAGCGTTTAAAAGACTTCAGATTGGGAAGTGTGTTTCGCCAGCTGTTTGGTCACGCAGCCGGGACGGCAAGTGGTGATGCCCATAAACGGATACGGAGTGCATTTGACCCGTGTTACAGCACAGAGAGTGTGGCACAGGCAGTGGATATGATGGAACAGGAATGCAAACAGTACTTAATTCAGATGGTTCAAAACAAACAGGTATTAATGTACTGTTTCTGGCGCTTCGTAACCCGCCGAGGGATTACTGCCTTTAATATATGCTGATGGGGTGTGCCACTGGATGGGGTTGTATTTACACCAATGGATTGACTACAGTGAGGTTGCTTTTAGAGTTTCTAGAAGGTGGTAACACATTTTCGGGATTTTGGTGGATGAGAACATCTCCTGGTAAATAGGGGTTTAGAAATGGAAAGATTCGCGGTTTAATAGTTGTTACCGCGACAAAAGAAAGTGACTTACTTGGGGTTCGATTATTCTAAAAAATTCCTTGAAAACTGCGTTTTCCTAAAAGTGACTAAGATGGAGTTTACAATTAGCCAGCGACACATATCCATCATGAATTGACCCAAGTACCCCCACCATTTAAAGAAAAGAAACTTACTTTGCAGCCTTGTATTTAGTTTTGTTTACTGAATTCCCACTTCAAGTTTTGTCTGGTATTAGCATCTCTTCATTTGAGATCCGGCAAGAAAGAACCAGTCGGTTTTATTTACGCTCTGAGTGGACCTCTGCATTCAAGGGTATTTATTTTAACGTACTTTCGTTACCGGATTTCGGTTCGATGAAAACAACGTTTCCCAAATGCCATTACTCAAAAGTCACCCAATTTCCAGGGTTTGTTCCCGAATCTCACGCCTTTTTGCTCTAAAAACCCGAATCCTGACCTTCTAAAGGTTCCAATTATCTGGTTCCTTATTGAAAACCATTTGGGGTTGGGGGCATTAGACGGTCACGGTAACAGCAGCAAACGGAGCTTCCGGCTTCTGTTATTGTTGTTTAAAGCTCTATTTAACAAATAAAGCTCAAGTGGAACCACGAGCCGCAGGCGAGTGGTTTCTATGGTCTATAAGAGTGTAGACCGTGGAAAATTGTGGTCGATTTGTTTTTTACAATAACATTTTTTTTTTCGAAAAGCCAAAAACAAAACAGCCGGCACTGCGTGACATGTTACGTCATTTCCAGGTTCTATACTCTCATAAACCAAAGCTCTCGACTAATCAACGCGCGAGGATTCGTTCAGTTATTGTAAAAAGAGTGTTTGTGCCCATCTCTGCATGATATGCGTTGCGGGATTAGAGAGCATTAGAGAGATAAAGCATCACCCAACCTTAACGGGCATACGCAAGAGGCAGAGATGGGAAAGATGACCACATGACCATCTTTCCCGCCTTGTTTGCCTTCGCCATTTGCAGTCATGTTACAACGTAACAGTAAGCGTTTTTTCACTAATAAAAAACGGAAGCAAAGACGCTCTTTATTATGTCGGCAGTATAGGGCAAACTTAGGAAACGCACTGCCTCATACCCTTTTTTCAGATCAAAAATCCAATGGGGTAACCACCAGGTCAACACACACTCCTTAGCACCTGTCAATTTGTAATATGAATAAGTCAGCACATGGTCAGTCTCCTTTTTTTGCCATCATGCAACACTCCCCCCTAAAAAAGAAGACTACCATCCCGGTGGAGGCGGGGGCACTCTACAGCGTTTTATACAGGGAGGCTGCGCCCGAGGTTCCACCGGTCTTACCCGTTTATATACCATTTTTGGCACGACTACCATAAATTCAGCTTGTGATATCCGTGGCTTGTTTCACCATTTCAGGGTTTCATAAGAATGGCTGATCTGATTCAACTGACGTTTAAAATACTAATGAAGTTCACATACGGAAGAGACATGACTGCAGACGAGCTTCAGGAGTTACTGGATCTCAGAGCTTTAGTGGAATCACTTATCGCAGATACTTTCTCAAACCCTTTTGTCAAGTTTCCGCTTTTTAAATACATGCCTACAAGCACTAACAGCAAACTGGCGCAATTTGAAAAGCGGTGGCTGCAATTCAATAAGCGGTAAGAAGGGTTCATTTTATGTTAGTTAACGCAAACAAGATAGTTATGTCGGAAGCAAAGGAAGAGTGAGAAGTCTACTTCTCCGTTTCCATTTTGATTTTGTAGTTAGTTTTTGTACCCTTTTTATAGCACGGCCTTGACCATTTCAACCAATAGGCATAACCAGGCTAGCAATGGGCTAACTTTTCACGATTTGTTCTTCCCTTGAGAGAGTCGCTTGATTCTAGGGTATAGTATGAGAATAGGTCACTTAGAATACTAAGTTTTAATTTTAGTTGAGTTTTTACCAAAAAATGTGAAACTCAACCTGACAACGCCCTTTTAAAAGAGAACTTTTTTGAAGTAGTTTGGGCTTTTAGGACTTAACTGGTTACCTAATACACATGTTTCTTTTGAACTTTCTGAGTTGTAGACGTTTCACATCCACCGATTCAATCACAATTCCTTTAGGGCGTTAGTTACATGTAAAAAAGCAGCACTTCTTGCCGTGATTCAAATTTTACTAAAAGACTGTTTTTGTGTCTAGTTTCAAGAAACCCTGGAGGAAGCTTCCCTTGCTAATGTAGATATCACATGCGGAGCTGTGGCCTGGCTTCTATTCCATGTAGCACTTCATAAAGATGTGCAGAAAAATCTTACAGTTGAAGTCAAGCATTCCATTTCACGCGGAGTATGTAAATATTTTAGCGAATACTTTTTCTTTCGTTGAAGCTGAGTGCAGTAAAAGAAATAGCGGAAAGTCTGAGGAGTATTTTTATTTGTTTGTCTGTCTTCCCTTCGATAAAGCCAATACTTTATATTTGAAAGACCCGAAGAGCCTTACGATGTATTGAAAACAGAGTTCCGATTCCGCTTATCACTCCGTCGATTACGATTAATCGGGGAACGAGCTATCAGCATCTTTTTACATCCAAAAACCACAGCAACGTTAAAACGGAAGGTGTTTTAAAAAAGTGTCAGATATTTCGCGAATGCTTGCTCATTTTCTGACCGGCTTATAACAGATGGAAAAGTTTTCTTTGTGATTTTATAGTTTCAATTTTTAAATAAAAAGAATTTTTTCCTGTGAGCAGGCTTCCTCACGAATGATGAGGGAGGCTATGAGCCTTTGGCTGATGCCACGTGATAATAAAATTCAGGACTAGAATTTTTTTCCGAGAATGTCCAAATGTCTAAATGTCTTGTTGTGTTTGTTTTCTTATTCAAGTTTATTATCTTTTTAGCTTTCAGAACCGTTAAGCTTAGAGACACTAACTAAACTGGATTTCCTGGGTAAGGTGGTAACAGAATCAGCTAGGAAGAGACCCGTAACGGTGATAAGCACTCCAGAATATGTGACTTGTCCAATGGTTATTGGGAATTTCCAAAGTCCCCCAGGGGTAAGTAGTGATTAGCGTGCAAAATCAGGGCTCCTGGTTATTAGGATATCTTACGGCCTCCAGAAGCGCGTGAAGAGTACGTGCCTAGCTCCCTGCCTTCTTTGGGTTTTCGAAAGCTGTTTTTAAGGCTTGGTTTCACGTGACTTCATCTTAGGCATTCAAATAAGAAGCTTAAGCAACGATGAGGGCGACGGCAACGAAGACGGCAAAAAAGCAATAGGTTTAGATTGGCAAAACGTGCATCACGCTTTTGTGTACATTTCTTTGCCGTCAATGCACGACTACGACTTGAGACGTCCTTATTTCACGTTTCACTTTTCCTTTTCCTGAACTTTAGTGCAGTCTTTCAGAATGCAGCTCCGGAAAAATTTTCCAGTATTTGATGAATTGGGCGAGGTGGAATAAGGGCGATTAAGTTTGAAGCAGAGCGAATTCACTTTTTAGTGACGTTTTCGTAGCCGTCCCCTTCTTTGTTGCTTAAGCTCCCTAATGTCATGACGCCGACCGTATACTCGCTTGACCAACGCACCAGTGATCATGGAGACCGCGTTGAAAAATGGTCAAACATCTAACATTTATCTTGGTTAAGCTCATAAATCCGAGAATAAATCATTTGCACGTGACGTTGCGGCGGCCGTATTTGCGACTTTCACGTTGCCCATAATGCACTTTGTTTGCCCTACAACATTTTGCTTAAGTACTCTTTTCAATTTCTCTTGGGACTAATAATCATTCTTGAAAAATTAAAAACAAAACTTCTGCCAAATCTTGTGGGGAAAGCAAATTGCAATATGGGGAACATAAAAATCGCAAATTGATGTACAAAAACAATGAAACGGCGGCCATATTGGTATACCTCCCCCCAAAAAAATCGTGTGGAAATTAAACTCTTTTTTCAGCAAAAAATTCCTTTTGTTCCATGAAGTTTGTGTAGCCACTGATCACATGAGTGAAAATGACCCATATCAAAGGAAAAATCTATACAGACAGTCATTTTTGTCTTTCCTCCTACGTTTGTTTATTCAATTGTGCAATTAATGAACTAAACAACTAAAGAAACAACAATGAACAACTAAAGAACTCATGGTCAATCTCGTAGCCGGAATTTGGTCAACGGGGCAAGACTCTGGATACGAGATTGATCCATGGTAGAAACATGATCTCTGACGATCATCATTGCCAAACGTTAACCAGAGTTTTCGAGATGATGTAACTGTTTTCAGCTACGTCAAACACTGTTCCCGTTTGTTTTTAGGTCGAAGTATCTGTTGACAACAGTGCAGTCAATAGCAACTCAGAAGTCTGGGGCGACACCGAAACTTTCAATCCCCGAAGATTTGATGACGAAACACCGAACATGCGCAAAAGCTTGTGTCGCTTCGGTATTGGAACGCGAAGGTGTATGGGATACCGGGTTGCAGACACCTTTATGAAAGTTTTACTGGTTACATTGCTGGAAAACTACTCCGTTGCCCTGGAGACGGACGTGAGAGGTGATGATGACAGTGTACCCGTTCAAAACGTTGGGCCATTCTGCTTTCCGTGCGTGGACTTCAAAGTTCAAGTTGCGCAGAAAAATGTTACTTCTTAAAAGTTACAAACGCGACGTTTATTGCGCTCTAGAAAATTCTTAACATCAGAAATACTTCAGATAATTAATGGCGACATCAAGTAAACTTTGGTATAAGTAGTGAAATTTGGACAATACGGGTCGGTTATTCGAACGAATTCTAACTTAAACCGCAGTTTAGGAAATCTTTAGACCTCTAGGTCTCTTCCTTAGTTGTTTATGGAGAAGACAAACGCTTCTCTGGTCTTTGCTGTATGGTCTCATGAAACTGCTCACGCTAAATGGTGTGTTGATAAAAGCATTTGGCAAACTGAAAATGGCTTAGAAAGCGGTTTTGTTAAGCGGGTAAACTCCGTTTAAATAACTGGCCCTACGTGTTTTTTGAAGTCGCCATTAATTATCAGAAGGTATTTTCTGACGTTACACGAGGATGTCTGTTAGGCACTAACTAGTCACCGGCATTATGGCTCTTGCCACAATAAATCACACTTATTTTATGTCACCGTTGAGAACCAGTTTTAAAAAAGTAACTGAAAAACGATTAAAGAATTGATTAACTAATGATCAATATATAATAAAAAGACTCAACTTCCCAAATCAGTTTGTCTTTGCGCAATTGTTATTGTTAGCCCAGTCAGACGCAATTGATATCGCTATATAAATGCATCCCTTAATTGAAACCGATTGATTCAATCCATCGAAGTGCCAATTAAATTTAAGTTTAGAATATAGGATATCGGACACGGATCTAGGGACGTGAAACATAACTTTGAATAATATTACTTTCCGAAGAGTCCTAGCAGTACAAACTGTCATGATCAGAAAAAGTATCCCCGCAAAGAAACGTAGACTGACACTGTTTGGTCCCCTATCATTCCGTTAGATCGTCGCGGTGTAGAGCTCATTTTAACCACAGCGGCTATCTTGGTTAACTTTTCATTTAATACTTTTGAAACCAATTGCCCGTAATGTTTTTTGGAACGTACCATCACATATCACGTGACCTTCAATGATAAAATAAAACAGCAAAGTGAACAAGTGCTTATCACTGTCCTGGTGGGGGGGCCGGGGTACTCCCTTATATGAGCCATACAGGTATATGCCGCCCCAAAGGGTATGGTTTTTACACCGTTTTGGTCTGAAAATGGGTATATACTTTGGCCATTGTGGTCTGGAATCGGTTATAGTTTTTGAAGAAACTACAGGAGTGTATGAACGTATTGATCGTTTCAATTCCAAATGAATAAGAAAGAAAGAGAAATATGCGAATTCGAAGTGGATTTTAATTAATCTTTTTTGTCCGTATTCTAATCTAAGTAACTGGGATGACATAATTTCTTAAAGGCCCGATCTGAAAACGGGTGTGAAAAGTGACATTTTCTAGTCTTACTCAGTGATAGGGTCAGGATTGGAAAACCAGTCGGTACACCCCCACCAAGAATTCCAAGGAGTACCCCCCCCCCCAGATCACGGTCCTGAAGCTGAGGTAGGCATAGCTTACCTCAGGTTTGTGATGTAAGTAAAATTGAAAGAATGAATAAATGAATAAATAAATGAAGGAGGGAGGGAAGGAATGCATTAATGAATTAATTAATCTATTTATGACCTCCGATAAACGAATAAAGTCAATAAGAATAAACAAGAATTTGAGTTATAATCTCGAGAATATTATGGTTTTTGCTTCCTCTTTTTCTCTGAAGCATAAATATATAAGCGAATCTTTGCTGACGTCACTGTTTACAGTTTTCCTCGTTAGCATACGATTTAACTCATAGAAGCCGTGGTCGTATAAATGAACTAAATGCATAAGTTGAAAGAGCTGAGTAATTTGAGCAATTTGTGTAATTTTCAGCTCTTTTCAAGCAATAAGAAAATATCAGCCATACATTCTCTGTAAAATTTCTAGTTTCAGTTTGAAGAGAATTTCTCCGAAACCATTCGTTGTATTGGGCTCAAATTTTCAGAGATAACTGAAACTGTTATGCCCTTTCAATATTCAGAGTTTTCATTTTATTAGCGTCATCAGATAGTTATAAGCATATGTTAATGAGGCATAAATTATTGCAATCGCGTTTTTACCGGTAACACTATTATACCCCGTATCGATGGAAGTCATCCTGCGCCTGCGTGAATCCAGTGTATTGTCACAGTACTGTTTAATTTGTTTGAAAAAAAAGACAACACAAAACACAACTAACGGGAAAGGTTGCAAGGGATGGTTTGGACAAAAGTCACAGTACTGTGACAATACAGGATTCACGCAGGCGCAGGATGACTTCCATCAATACAGGGTATAATAGTGTTACCGGTAAAAACGCGATTGCAATAATTTATTTTCAAGTTTCTCAAGTTACCTGAGATCAGGCTTTATTTTTGTTTTGCCTTTTCAAAATGTGCTTGGCAATTTAATACCATGAGCCTAGTGTCACGTCCAAGCGTGACACACGACAAACGTAGCTTAACATCATTGTCTGTCATTTTGTAGCTCATTGTAGGGCTTATTTTAACTCACTTTAGCTCCTAGCAGCTCATAGTAGCTCATTGTAGGTCATTGTAGATCATTGTAGGTCATTCCTTGTTTTAGTAACTACGATTTTTAAATAGTATAATTAGCTGTGGTCACACTACACACTTTTACCTAGGTAAAACCGATTTACCTAGGGTAAATTCTTCAAAAGTCTCCCGAGGTAAATTTATCTTGGGTTTTGTTTTACCTAGGTGAAACATTCTGGGAAGGTCACACTACTGATATCGGCTCCCAAGGTTTTCACACCAGCTGAATTTTTTTGGAGCGTAAATTCAAGAAGGCAAGATGCGCAGGGATCTAGCTGATCAAAGAGACTTTTTTTTCTTTTATCTCGCTGTTATTTCTTACGCTAATTCAACGTCCAAGGTGAAGAAAGGCAAAGACGTAGAGGACTCGTGTCCTCAAAATTTCTTTCACAGCGTGAGCTATGTCTGGTTCTGTCATCAAGGCCTTTGCCGATGAGCGTCTATTGGCTAGCAACCTGGGTATTTTATTTTTCCCAAGCTATTGCTTTGGGGTAGCTGTCAATGGAAACTCTATTGTTCTCGAGACATATCCAAAACCCAGACGATAAAATTAGGGGAAAATCAGTCACACTTAAAAGATCAAGTTTTCCTAGGTAAACTGTCAACAAGTCGAGTTTGCCTAGGTAAAAAGTCTGTAGTATGACCACAGCTATTAAAAGTCCTTAAAATCAGCTAATTGGTATGGATCGGCTCACACCTTGGGAGCTTCTTCAGATGCCACTGATGGCCAGGGTTAGCAATAACTGAGAGGAATTTTTCAGTTTAGAAGCTGATGGGAATATATCATTTTAGTAAACTCCAACTAGTGGTCTATTATCAATGCTGCATTCTGATTGGTTGAGCTACTACTAGGTTATATGTTATAACCCACTAGTAGTGAAAAGCGCCGCCTTTGAAAACCAAAACAATGGCGGCTGAATCGCGTTTTGCGAGCTAAAGTTGTTTTGTCTCGATATTTTTGACCAACTAGTTGGATTTAACTAAACCATTATTATTCCTCTCACCCTCATGGCCTCTAAGTCAATAGCCCATTCGGCCTTTGGCCTCGTGGGCTATTGACTCAGAGCCCATTCAGGCTCGACGAATAATTGTTAAAAACCAAAATTATTTAGCCAATATGCCCACAATTCCCTAGAAAATGTTTGCAATACTGGCAACTTATATGAGGTGAGCCAGCGCGGTTACTAAGCCAGGCTGGCTTGGCTTGTGCATTAAATTTGGTTTCCTTATAAAATTGTTGTTGTGTTTTTATGAAAAGGCAGGTAGGCTGGCCCACTCGCCAAGATCCCAGTTTCTGGAAAACCCAAAAGCCTGGGTAGGTTGTAGTTAATGGCAAATGCCAGCCCTACTTGGAAACAAACAACTTGACAAACTGGGGACAAACTGCCAAAAAGATTCTCAGTAACATTATAACAGTGAATATTTGAAGTTTCATAATAAACTGCACGAAAAGATGAAAGGATAGGGGAAAGGATAGGGAATGGGCATCTTCAAAAGACTAGTGACAAGAAAATTAAATCCTCTTGGACTGAATTGTAAAAGCCAGCCTGTGTAGCATGGCAGTTTTGTAGGGCGCACCACTGAGCAGTGTAGTCCAATCTCCTCCCAGTCTTACTGCCCTACCCCACCTTGGTTTGTTTGCGGGCCTAACCAAAACTGCCATGCTACGCAGGCTATGTAAAAGCTACAGCCTATAATGTAGGGATATTTTGGGGCAAGCAAAAGTTGCCATGGCTGCACACCATCTTTGATTTCATCACTCAGGTAGATTGGTGAGAGTATACAAATTACAACGCTTGGAGTAGGTGTAGGGCAGAAGAAGGAGATGGGAGAGGGGGAGGGGAGAAAAAAATATTTCTCTCTTCCCAACACCCCCCCTGCCCCTTATGAGTCACCCCACTGCCTCGACTATTTTAGAATTCAGCATTGTGGTTACACAAACAAAAACAATCACACATGAAGAGAAAACACCTGGAATGCTGGGTACATAAAAGCATATTGAGATTTTAAAGTGGTGGTGATGTCCTCTGTGCTTAACAATTTAGTAATGACTACATTGAAACTATACAGCCAGCAAATACTAACTTTAATAGAAATCTTTCTCAAAATCCAGAAAATGATTTTACAGTTTGAATACAGAATAACTGATTCCCACCAATATAATTATAAATAAATAAATATTATTATTATTATTATTTTTAATATCAGAGATGGATAATTCTCTTTTGTAATGACTTGATTTAAAACCCTGGACTGCCTGCAAGAGTCATTGACTGCATCTGAGCTGCAAGGAATGTATTTGTGAAATCGTTATTGACAAAGTGATTGCTATTTTTATGATTTATATATTAATTGTTAATGTTACATAGTGCTTAATTCTTACTTCAAATATTTCTGTAAATTATGTACATAATTTATTATTATTATTATTATTATTATTAACCAGTTAAACTCTTATATTGCGTGAAATTGCTATGGAATTAATGCTTTCTCACAAGAGATTTGCCCAGAAAAGGACCATGACTGCCCGCATGCTTATGGCTTACTGGTCCAGTCTGAGTGTGCTACTGACCAGTTAAAAGCCTTCTTTGTAAGAAAGTCATACAATGTCCATTATAATATTTATTATATTATTACAGATCATAGTTGATGATTGCAAGTCCCAATCCTTCTTTTGGCTTTCCATCATAATCTCCGTTTACAAATTTCTCATAGACAGGCCAGCTGCGATGATAAATAACTGCCACGCTTTCGGTTCTGAACATCTCTTTGCTGGAGATAATGAAGGCTAGTTCTTTCAGGAGGTAGTAAACTCCTTCTTGCACACTTTCGTTGTCTTCAAGCTCAGCATCTGAGGATTCTAAAGTTTAAAAATAGGACTTGGTCAGTCTTCATTGAAGAGTATACTGTGGGGGTGGGGAGTGGGGGTTGGTACTCCCTATAATGGCCTATACGGGGAGGCTCCGCCCGAAAGAGGTACCTTTTTCCGGCTTCAGATATATCATTGCTATATAAAAGGGTATGGAATTTGGAAGTTGAAGTATATGAAAGGATAGGGAAATCTGTCATTTCAGTTTGTAAAAAGCTCCAAAAGGGCTAACAGGCAGTTGCGCATTTTATGGCTGTAAAAAAAGTCGAGAAAACGTTCTAGATTTGTAATTTACAGTCCAACCTCCACTATCGGCCACCAGGCCATTGAGGAGAGGTTCAACTGTATCTATATAGTAAATACAGTTTTACGGTAATTAAAAGGAATGCAAAGGTGTTATACTAGGTATGTGAAAGAGGTAGCATTTGTCAATAAAAGGTATACAAAAGGGGTACCTCTTTTGTCAGAAATAGTATATACAAGGGTAAGGGTTTGGAGCCTTCCCGTATAAAACTTTGTTGCATATCCCACCGGGAGGGTATTTAAAGCGTTATGCAACGAAAGGCAAAATCTTGGTACATGTACTGAGTTTATCTCCGCCTCTCCCCTCCCCCGTTTTTTGGGGTCATGCATAGAAATCGAGTAAACTGGGCAGACAACCGAACGATAGCAAGAAATGACAAGATTTTATGGCTGGACAAAAACGGACGAAAACGGATGCACAAAAACAAAAATGTTTGAATTACAGAGATCTACTCAGGTGGCGGGAATGTCCACCACTTTTCATGCTCTTAACATAGTTTGTACACCGGTTGGCTCAACTTTTTTGTTTCTTTAGTCCTGAATCCTGGAAAATTGTGCGTCGAAGCCGCGACAACGATTCGCAACGGGTTTTAAACCGTAGATTTGTTGTAAACGGAAACGGATCCGTGTTTCAAAGTCCATTGACCGAGAAGTGATAAGACAACTCAAGAAATGGAAACCGAAAAAGTTTAGATAATTCGACTTTTAAAACACTGATATCCTCCTTTACTTGCTTACCTGATTCGCTCTCAGAGGATGTAGAATCTTTTCCTAACACTTTTGCGGTCGATCGTGCGACGTCCTGGCGAAAGTAAGAATTACTTTTGTAAAAACTGATGATATAGTCTAAGGCTGCAATGTAAGCTTCATGTTTGTCTACTTCTGAAGTCCAGTCCAACATATAAAACTCCCCGGTAACATCGTCAGTCTTGGACACCTGTTCAGCGGTAGAAAATAATGATTTAATCCATACTGAATAATGAAAAGCCGTCAAATTATTACTTCTCTAACCGTGGGTACAGCGTGTTTTTTCCTTGCGTGCGGCGGAGATGCTTCGTGCCGGCCGCAGGTCGACACGTTAATCTTCGAAGCGAGAAAAAAGTTTCAATAATAGTTAAGCTCCTGTCCTTCCACCCCCCTTATCTAACTTAGGGAGAGATCAGTTTTGTAAATAATAAAACTCTTTTATACCACTGCAGACATGCGGCGGAATCGTCAGTTTCTAATTTGTGTTAAATCCAAGTTTTCTTGCGTTTAATTTATTACGAGCTGGTTAGAAACCTTATAATGTTTCCTTTACTTTTGTTATCGTTATTTATTAAATTATTGTTTTAATACTGAAAGTCAATAAAAGTTGTGTTTAGGGCCAATTTTAAAATATCATTTACTATTCCCCCCCCTAAAAACCCATCACTTTTTCCGAGAAATACTCCGTTAGATTTCTGTTAGTTCTCTGTGAAATTTAGCGCGTCTCTACATAAAAGCACACAACATTCTGTCGACATGTACGTACATACACACAAGATTGACCAAAATTGCGAAAGCGGAACTTGCATTAGCCTCATTAGTTATTAAGGTTTTCAAGTGAGAAAAAGCATATCTGTGACGTCACTCACGCATGCGCACAATTGGTGAATGTCAACAATAGTGCAAGTCCGGTTTTCACTGAAAAACGTCACCCCTACAGCGAGGAGAGGGGCATGAAAAAACAATTAATAACTGCAAATTTTAGCTTGTCTCCAGCTTGTGAAAGACAGCGAGTGTGCGTCAGTTTTAAAGAATAAAAAAATAAAGAAAGACACAAATGTTGTGGTGGATATTTAACCGTACTTTTTCAAGCTTTCTCAAAGTATCAAGGATTAATCAGTGACAGTATTATGATGTTTTCTGTACATACCTTATCAATAGCTCTTCTGCAGTGCGACTTGAGCTGACTGGAGTTTTTCTTGGCTCGTTTCACAGCATCTTTACTCCCCAGAGCTCTGTACGTATGTTCAGCTGGCTGCTGTGGTACAACCACAATGATTCGTCTTTCTTCCTTCCCCAAGTATTGCACATAGTCCTCAATAACATGAGATTTAAAATATGGATTTCCAGGGCTCATTCCAAACAATACTACACCGTTGCCCGCCATAACATCTTGGCCTGTTTGAAAAACGAGACTTTCTTCAAGCTGAACAAGGTTAAGCACCATTTTATGAGGGGCTATTTCTTTGGAAGAAAGAAATGAAGTAAGTGGATTTCGAGCTCACCGTCAGCTTAACATGCTAAACAAGGAAAACATTGCAGCTTTTATGCGTCCCTCGCAATTAACAATTAGCCAATCATGATTTGATTCGCTGGAACGATCGCTGAGTCGAATTCCCCGGGAACAAAATGGCTCGTGACGTGTTCTAACTTTAGCGTCGAAGTTACGCGGCTCATTTCCCAGAAATACCGGTTGTGAATTTGAAAGTTGAAAGTGCACGAATGTCATGATTTACAAAGAATGGAAGGTGTATTCCTTTGATTTCCTTATAAGGTAAAGTGGACTAAAATATAGAAATGCAAAGATATCTGCCTTTTTGGCTTCAAAATTTGATATCATGGGGGGAGGAGTATTCTCTAAAATGGCCTCTACGGAGGAGCTCCACCCGAAAGGGGTAACTTTTATCAGGCTTTAGGTGTTTAAAAGGGTAGGGATTTAACAAGTGTAAAGTATATGAAAAGGTGGGGACTGATGTGTCATTTAGGTATTTAGAAAGGTCTTTAGGGACGGACAATTAGAAAAGTTATGGGGGGGGGAGGGGAATTTTCGAGCTGCAAGAATTTTTTTTCGTTATCAAATTCTTTGCATGAATTTTATTTAGGCCATTGCATGAATATTTTTTAGGGTTAATTGGCGTGCATGAATTTTTTTTCATTTAATTTTCCCTTGCGCGAATATTTTTTTTGTACATTTAATGTGTTATTTAGGTATTTAGAAAGGTCTTTAGGGACGGACCATTAGAAAAGTTATGGGGGGGGAGGGGAATTTTCGAGCTGCAAGAATTTTTTTTCGTTATCAAATTCTTTGCATGAATATTTTTTAGGGTTAATTGGCGTGCATGAATTTTTTTTCATTTAATTTTCCCTTGCGCGAATATTTTTTTTGTACTTCGCCCGCCCCCCCCCTTAAGTTTTCTAATGGTCCGTGCCTTACTTCAAATATTTCGGGCAGACGCAGCCACCCCACATAAACCTTTGTTGAATCCCCAGAGCTTAACATTTAGTTTAGTTAGGCATTTCCGCTCATTTCTTTGAAGACTGAATTACGTTTCAGTGCGATTTAGAATATCCTAGTACTTCATAAGCTCGTTTCCACATGGACCGTACATTATTGTTCTTTATACAATGTTCTGCTCTGAACCTTGCTGTCATCGTTTAAAACTTGCTTTTTCTCCGAACCCACTCCTGCGTACACTCATATCAGTTAGCAGGGAAAATCGAAAATGTGGCGAAATTAAAAAAGGATTAAATTTAGCTTTGTTGACGTAAGTAAACGGCGGGAGTGTAGGTGAGGGAATATAATCTATTAAGATCAGAGCGTCACTAATAAAATTCGGTTTTATCGTAAGAGTCATGAGACTCGCACACGTCAATTTAAATGGATCGATCGGTAATTTCCCTTTGACCGAAATAGTCGTTGCAGACGGTTACATGCCAAGATTTATCAATTACGCATTTGTTTCAGTCTGCATGTGACTTCTAGGAAGTCCCAGACCGGAACTGAAAAAGTGATAAACTTGTGTGACATTTCGTAGATTCAGTGGCTTTCAGTTTGCGAAGGGTTCGTTTCATCGCTTTACAATCGTGTTCAAATTTCAAGATGATGCTCGGCCTTGCTATCACTGCCCTTGCTGTCGTAGTGATTTTGATATCGTGGATTTACAAAAGATTTATGGAGGTAAGATTTTTTTTCTCAAAAACGGTTTTTCAAAGGGCAGGGCCGACGGCGTGCGATTCCCGCGCGAAGCGCGCGAGCCGTTCACGCCGTTTTCACCCTTGCTTGATTGCTAACGCACTCTCAAGCGGACCTACGCGCACATACAGGCTTTTTTTGTGTAAGTTTTAAAATTTTACGTATGAATCATGTTTACCAATATCTTATATGTCCTTCTATTAACTTAATGATGATCGCCAAGTCATTCTCTAAACCTCTGGCGTTCAATTTGCTTGTCCTCCAGTAATCCGTTGTGTAAAAGGAAAAAAATAAAAACGAAGCCAGGACTTAGAAAGAGAAGGCTGGAAAGTATTGGGTAGAGCATGTAGTTTTGTATTTTCCTGCCAAATTTCAAGACATGGCCGTCACGCAACAATAACGTGTAAACAGTCACTGAAGCTTTCTTCGCCGTAAATTGTATAGCCTGCAGGATTGCTCAGGCTATAAACTGAGTGAACAACTTAAGGTTTGGAATGTAGAGACAAAGGAGGGAAATTCCTTGAAATCACTCTGTGGCTGTTTCATAGACAGGTTTTCTTGGACAGGAGCGAAGGGAGCGAACAGGTTTTGTCAACTTCCTATTTCGGTCTGTTTCGTTTTCATTACTTCGGACTCTCATCCAGTTTCATTTTGCAAAACGGAAAACAAAACAAAAAAATAATGATCACTGATTTTAACATCTCGCGTGATCGCTTATGTTATAGAATTACTTCTGGCAAAATGATTCTGGGGAAATTATCGCAGGAACTGGCTTCAGGACCTTTTCACCAACACTCATAGCATTCAAAGATGAAGGCTTGAAGAAATTCGGGATGTACTTGCTCCGATTTTTACCCGGGCCTCCAAAACTGTAAGTATTGTAACTAATATTTTCAACTTAGATCACAGGGACCCCGTACAATCTGTTTGTGTAGGCGATTGTTATTTTATAGTAAATGTTCTGGATGTACCGTTTGCCTCACCTACAGCGATATGTCGCTAACTATGTATATAAATCAATGATAAATAAATGTTGAATTACCTTACCTGTGGTATACAGTCGTCCTTTTACCTCAAAAGCGGTTTTTTGAGCGATTTTGAAGGAGTTTGAATTCGCCGTTGACTGTTCCTTATATAGTCAACGGCCAAATCCAACTCCCAGAACTCCTTCAAAATCGCTCAAAAAACCGCTTTTGAGGTAAAACGACGACTATATACCACAGGTAAGGTAATTCAACGTTGATTTATGTACATAGTTAGCGATATATCGCTATAGGTGAAGCAAACGGTAAATCCAGTACATTTACTATAAAATAACAATCGGCTACACAAACAGATTGTGTGGGCTCCGTGTGCTTAGATATTTTTGTTTTGATTTTTAACATTTCATTGAACTGCTTAAAACTTAATTCTTCTTATACATTTAAATATTTTCGTTTTCGGGATTGTCACGTAGCGTGACGCGCTCTTTGTCTTTGCAGCACGATGTAGTTTTCAGGGCTGTAGGGGCAAATTTTGACTGGCCTTCACTAATTTACATGCCATCTAAATAGTCTCCAATATAGACATATTGTTTTTTGGCGAGCGTTTTGGCTAAAATGTAAATGTACTTGCCAGTTAACTGCAATGGCAACATCGTTGCGTGATATTGTAAGCGTGACTGGGGTTTCAGTTGCTTAATTGTCACAACTGTTCTGTTTGTTTGTTTGTTTTTGCTTTTGAATGAAAGTGTCGACTTCGTTAGATCCAAATATGTGTTAATTTTTTTCTCTTGCCTACAGAATCATTACAGATCCACAAATCGCTGTGAAATTCATGGCAAAACAGCATAAGTATGAGCGTTTAAAGGACTTCAGATTGGGAAGTGTGTTTCGCCAGCTGTTTGGTCACGCAGCCGGGACGGCAAGTGGTGAGGCTCATAAGCGGATACGGAGTGCATTTGATCCGTGTTACAGCACAGAGAGTGTGGCACAGGCAGTGAATATGATGGAACAGGAATGCAAACAGTATTTAAATCAGATGGTTCAAGATAAACAGGTATTAATTTAATGTTTTCTGGTGCCTCGTAACTGCTAGTAATGCTTCCTATTAATGTGCCATATGATGGGAGTGTGCCAACCTCGTCCCCAGGGCTTTTCCCTTAAAAATGGGTCTGCCACTGGACGGGATCGCATTTTCACCACTGAATTGACTATGATTTGCTTGAATTAAGAGTTTTCTGAAGGGGTCGCAAATTTTTTGGAATTTTGCGGTTAAGGAATTTGAACAGGAATATTTGCGGTTATAATAGTTGTTACCGCGTCAAAAGAAAGTAACTAAGTTTGTATTGCGAAAATTGCATGTGCCTTAATAGAATTAAGAAGAGGTTCCCACAGGCCAGCGACACATATCCATCAAGAATTGACCCAAGTACCCCCACCCCGAGCATCAGGCATTTTTTTGTACCTTTTCCAGAAACATAAAGAGATATATTGAGGTCGTGATCGCGGGCTAAGTGCTCTTCAGCTTTTATGTAGTAACCTTGATGTAAAATAGATCTGTCGCGTAAGGGCCCTGATAAAGCTATTCATGAAACCCAAACATCCCATCCTATTTCTTTCTTGATTCAACAATTCTGACGGTTCCCAGTCCCGACCGCGCATCTCAAAAGGTGCCTACAGCCTGATGCTCTTGATTCTCTCCTGGAGATCTGTGGCAGATAGCTGGGTCTTTAAAAAAAAGTGCAGCGATCATCAACGCCTGACAGGGTGGATAAAAATAATAGCTTTCCGACATTGAAGGAAAGCAACTCAGTTTCCTCACCAGATTTCAGTTCTGCGAAAGACAACACTGAAAACCAACATTCTGTGAAAACCAATACTTAAAAGTCACCCAATTTCCTGTGTTTGTTTTCCGAATTTCAGGCCTTTTTGCTCTAAAATCCCGAATCCTGACCTTCAAAAGTTACAATTAAAACCATTTGGGGGGTGGGGGCATGGGGCGGGCACGGTAAAAGCAGCAAACGGAGCTTCCGGCTTGTATTATTGTTATGTGAAGCGCTATAGAGTATTTGTACTCATTTCTGGATGGGATACGTTGTGGTAATACCCTTAAGATGAGGTAGATAAAGCGTCACCTAACCTTAACGGGCATTCGCAAGAGGCAGAGATCGGAGAGATGACCACATGTCCATCTTTCCCGCCTCTTAGCTTTCGCCATTTGCAGCTCACAACGTAACAGTGAGCAAGAACTCTTTAATGTAAACGTGTTGCTTTACGTCGGCAGTATAGGGCAGACTTTCTAGTCTCAGGGAACAACGTACTGCCTCAGACCCTATGTCCCAGTTCAGTAATTCAATGGGATAACCAGCAGACCAACACACGTTCCACAGCACCTGTGTATTGTAATTTGAATAAGTCACCACATGCTTAGTCTCCTACGCAGTAGTTCCTTTTTGCCACCACGCAACGCTCCTCCCCTAAAAAGAAAAGACTACCACCCCGGTGGGGGCGGGGACACTCTACAAAGTTTTATAGTTTTATGAGGGGGGGGGGGGGCGGGCAGCGTCCCGAGGCTTCGCAAGACTGCCACAAATTCAGCTTGTCGAACCTGCCTTGTTTTGTCATTGCAGGGTCTCATAAGAATGGATGATCTCATTCAACTGACGTTTAAAATACTAATGAAGTTCACATACGGAAGAGACATGACTGCAGACGAGCTTCAGGAGTTACTGGATCTCAGAGCTTTAGTGGAATCACTTATCGCAGATACTTTCTCAAACCCTTTTGTCAAGTTTCCGCTTTATAAATACATGCCTACAAGCACTAACAGCAAACTGGCGCAATTTGAAAAGCGGTGGCTGCAATTCAATAAGCGGTAAGAAGAGTTCATTTTACGTTAGTTAACGCAAACAAGATAGTTATGTCGGAAGCATAGGAAGAGTGAGAGGTCTGCTTCTCCGTTTTCATTTTGATTTTGTAGTTAGTTTTTGTACCCTTTTTATAGCACGGCCTTGACCATTTCAACCAATAGGCAAATGTTTTCGTTGTGAAAATTTTAATTTCCTCTTTTCTACTTTCGTTTCTTGTCCTAGCTTTGAGGAGCGTTTTGCCGAAGGAAAACTTCGAGACACAAGCTGTGTATTTTACAAGCTCCAACAAACTCTTGCAAAAAATCCGGGGACACTGTCAGAAGATGAGGTAATGTTGGGGGTTTAGACGAAAAGTTTTGGGTTGGCTGGTTGACCAAACCTATCTGTATAATATTATTTTTTAATTTCACGTTCGGGTAACGAAATGCAAGTGGAATCTAGGATAACTTTGTATAATGTAATATCTTTTTCCAGTTAGTTCCTGTTCGTTAGTAGTTCTCAAGAACTTTTTAAAATACAAAATACGTGTAAGTGATGGTTTGGTATTTCTTTAAAACCCTAATACATATTTAAACTAAAGAAGACCCTATGAGTATAATAGCTGATCCGTTTTGTGAAAAATTGCTCCACTGCGCTGCCTACACTATAAGTGCGTGTTTCTAACCTTCTATAACCAGGTCTAGCCATGGGCCAACTTTTCTAAGTTCTAATTTTAGTTGAATTTTTAACAAAAAAAAGTGAAACTCAACCTGACAAGCCCTTTCAAAAGAGAACGTTTTTGAAGTAGTTTGGCCTTTGAGGACTTAACTAGTTACCTAATAGACATGTTTCTTTTGAACTTTCTGAGTTGTAGACGTTTCACATCCATCGATTCAAACTCAATTCCTTTAAGGGCGTTAGTTACAGTAAAGCAGCCTTTCTTGTCGTGATTCATATTTTACTAAAAGACTTTTGTTGTGTCTAGTTTCAACAAACCCTGGAGGAAGCGTCCCTTGCTAATGTAGACATCACATGCGGAGCTGTGGCCTGGCTTCTATTCCATGTAGCACTCCATAAAGATGTACAGAAAAATCTTACAGTTGAAGTCAAGAATTCCATTTCACGCGGAGTATGTAAATATTTTAGCGAATACTTTTTCTTTTGTTGAAGCTGAGTGCAGTGAAAGAAATAGCGGAAAGTCTGAGGAGTTTGTTTATTTTTTTGCAATGTTTGTTGGTTTCTTTGTCTTCCCTTCGATAAGCCAATGCTTTATATTTGAAATACCCGCAGAGCTTTACGATCTAGTGAAAACAGAGTTCCGATTCCGCTTATAACTCCGTCGATTACGATTAATCTGGGAACGAACAGTCGGCACCTTTTTACACCTAAAAAACACAGCAACGTTGAAACGGAAAGTGTTTTTAAAAAGTACCAGATATTTCGCGAATGCTTGCTCATTTTCTAACTGGCTTATAACAGATGAAAAAGTTTTCTTTGTGATTTTATAATTTCAATTTTTAAATAACAATAATTTATGCCCGTGAGCAGGCTTCCTCACGAATGATGAGGGAGGCTGTGAGCCTTTGGCTCATGCCACGTGATAATAAAATTCAAAACTATAATTTTTTTCCAAAAATGTCCAAATGTGTTTTCTTATTTAGTTTTATTATCTTTTTAGCTTTCAGAACCGTTAAGCTTACAGACACTAACTAAACTGGATTTCCTGGGTAAGATGGTAAAAGAATCAGCGAGGAAAAGGCCGGTAATGGTAATAAGCACTCCGGAATATGTAGCATGTCCAATGGTTATTGGGAATTTCCAAAGTCCCCCTGGGGTAAGTAGTGATTAGCGTGCAAAAGCAGGGATTCTGGTTATTAAGATATCTTACGGCCTCCTAAAGCGCGTGAATAGTCTCCCCGCTTGCTTTGGGTTTTCGAAAGCTGTTTTTAAGGTTAGGTGTCATATCTTAGACGTTCAAATAGAGAACTTAGGGGCCTGTTTACATGGGGGTGGGGGAGCCCAGGTAGGTGAGGTAACCCCCTTAGGTGAGGAAAAACAATAACCCTCCTTTACATGGAATCTTACAACCCCGCCATTCCGGGGACACTTTCTCAAGTATATTGATCAATGATCGCTAAACACGTAAACGAGAAAAATGCTGGCAAACCACGTGTTTTGGTGGTTAGTACTCCTCTACACTCACATACTGCTCTTGTTGCAACCTTTAGTGCTGTGGCTTTCTATTGCTGCCTTTAAAAATGATGCAAAGCCACCGCCAAAGTGAATTTTGCGCGAATTTGACGTTTCATGAATCCGACCGCGACTAGGCGGGTTACTCCACCTTGAAAAGTTTACATGGCAAAATTTGACCCCTGCCTAGAGGGTTACCGGCCTAGCAGACCGGGCTAGTGAAAATTAAAATGAGAGATTATATGGACAGGCGGGTTTCCCCACCTACGCAGGCGCAGGATTAATACCTCAGCTACCTGAGGTCACAACGACGACGGCAACGGCAGCGAGAAAGGCAAAAACGCAATAGGTTGAATAGGCGTAAAAACAACTTTACACCTGCATCGCGCTTTTTTGTACACTGCACGCTGACAACGACGTGAAAATGCCTAATTTCATGTTTTCTGGAGGACGTGAACATAAGACAATGACTTTCTTTTCCTTTTCCGGAACTTTTATGCCATCTTTTAGAATTCAACTCCAGAATAGTTTGCCAGTATTTGATGAATTGAGCGAGATGGAATAAGCGCGATTAGGTTTGACGCAGCTCGAATTCACTTTTTAGTGACGTTTTCGTAGCCGTCCCCTTCTTTGTTGCTTAAGCTCCTTAATATCATGACGCCGACCGTTTACTCGCTTGACCAACGCACAAGTGATTATCCAGACGATGAAAAATGGTCAAAGATCTAACATTTATCTTGATTATGCTCATAAATCCAGGAACAGATCGTTTGCACGTGACGTCGCAGCGGCCGTATTTGCGACTTTCACGTTGCCCATAATGCACTTTGTTTTCCCTACAACATTTTGCTTAAGTATTCTCTTCAATTTCTCTTGGGACCATTAATAATCCTCCGTTGACAAATTAAAAACAAAACTTCTGCTAAATTTTATGGGGAACGTAAAAGTCGCAAATTGTGTACAAAAACAATGAAACGGCGGCCATGTTGATGTACCAACTCTTTTCTCATGTAAAAATTTATTCTGTTCTGTGAAATTTGTATAGCCACTAATCACATGAGTAAAAATGATCTATATTAAAAGGAACTATCTATAGATACAGTCATTTTTACATTTCCCCTACTGTACGTTTGTTTATTCAATTGCTATTCATGTTTTTAAACTAAAGAATTCATGGTTAATCTCGTAGCCAGGGTCTTCTGGCTTTTTGACCAACGGGGCAAGACTCTGGTTACGAGATTGATCCATGGTAGAAACATGATCTCTGACGATCATCATTGCCAAAAGTTAACAAGAGTTTTCGAGATGATATAACTGTTTTCAGCTACTTTCTGTAAATGTTTAAATGTCAAACACTTTTTTCGTTTGTCTTTAGGTCGAGGTATCTGTTGACAACAGCGCAGTCAATAGCAACGCAGGAGTCTGGGGCGACACGGAAACTTTCAATCCCCGAAGATTTGATGACGAAACACCGAACATGCGCAAAAGCTTGTGTCGCTTCGGTATTGGACCGCGAAGGTGTATGGGATACCGGGTTGCAGACACCTTTATGAAAGTTTTACTGGTTACATTGCTGGAAAACTACTCCGTTGCCCTGGAGACGGACGTGACAGGTGATGATGACAGTGTACCCGTTCAAAAGGTTGGGCCATTCTGCTTTCCGTGCGTGGACTTCAAAGTTCAAGTGGGGCAGAAAAATGTTGCTTCTTAAAAGTTACAAACACAACGTTTATCGTGATCTAGACAAAAATTTAACGTCAGAAATACTTCAGATAATTAATAGCGACATCAAAGAACACGACAGTAAGTAAACGTTGGTACCAGCAGTGAAATGTGGACAGTACGGGTGGGTAATTCTTAGACCGCGGTTTAGGAAATATTTGGAGCCTAGGTCTCTTCCTTAGTTGTTTATGGAGAAGACAAATGCTTCTCTGGTCTACGCTGTATGGTTTCATGAAACTGCTCACGGTAAATGGTGTGTTGATAAAAGAATTTGGCAAACTGAAAATGGCTTAGAACGCGGTTTTGTTAAATGGCTAAACTCCCTTTAAGTAACTGGCCCTACGTGTTTTTTGAAGTCGCCATTAATTATCTGAAGGTATTTCTGACGTTACACGAGGATGTCTGTTAGGCACTAACTAGTCACCGGCATTATGGCTCTT